CGTCGATCAGGTCTCCGTACCGCATCGCCATGTGACCACGCATTCCCAGCCGATTCGTCCTAAAAGACACACGCACTCGGTTACCACGGCAACGAGGTCAGGAGAGCCTCTCTCCAGACGACGCTGTGTCTAGAGGGCAAACGACGACAGCGCCGCCTGTAGGAATAACGCGTGTTGCTGATAGCGCCACCTAGTGGATGCGTGCCGCTGACAGCGCCACCTAGCATCATCCTCCCCAAACTGCATGCAGCGCCCCCCTTCTTACACTCAGGATACCACTGCCACAATGCTAGCACTATTTTTAAAGTGGGCGGGGGAAATCCAGCGAATGGAGATTCGTAAACAGCGTATGATTTGAAAGAGGTAAATGGGCGCACAATCCGCGTACTATTTCGTATCACTATTTTATCAAATTTTTCATGAAATAACGATCGGATTTTTAATATCTTTGAAACTTTTATTAGTCCAAATATTATTACATAGGATACGAGTAACGTGCCTGCTGTAAAACTTGTAGTAAAAAAGCGTTACAAATTGTAACCGAAATCTACTTGTGGCAGTGGTAGATTGAGCCCATGAGCGAGAGCGCCATCTGTCATGGAGTTTGCATCCTCCCTTCGCCCCACACGTACGCGTACACACCTGTTTCGTTCGTATAGGTGCAAATTCTGCTTGAACATGTTGAAGTACTGTGTGAGCGGCCGCGTGTTGCTGACGGCGCCACCTACTGGACATGTGCCACCTACAGCGCCCCCTATGTGCGTACGCACCTGTTTAGTTCGTATAGGTGCAGATTCTGCTTGAAGTACTGCGTGAGCGGCCGCGTGTTGCTGACGGCACCACCTACTGGACGTGTGCTACCTACGGCGCCCCCTATGTGCGTACGCACCTGTTTAGTTCGTATAGGTGCAGATTCTGCTTGAAGTACTGCGTGAGCGGCCGCGTGTTGCTAACACACTGCAGCGCGGAGTTGAGGAAGCAGGTGTTGCCGAGGTTGTTCAGGCCTGTCGCGCCGCGCTCGGTGGCGCCCCCTCCCGACAGCTTGCGGCTCGCGCGATTCTTGGCGAGGTTCGAGAGCTCCTCGGGCCACGTCAGGTCCTTGTTCCTCACTGTGACACATGTAAGAGAGGTCAGAGGTCAGAGGTCAGAGGTAAGAGGTCAGAGGTCACCACGTGACGACGCGTTACGACACGGACGGTTTTCACATTGCAAGGCTGTGTTATAACACGATAGAATACGCCAGTACCTTGTTCTTCGCTATAATAACACAAGCATCAAAGGTCGACTCACTTATGGTTTCTACTGTGACACCATCTAACATTGATTAGTATAATGTTCTGCAATCACTGTAACCAACAAAGCAACTTATTCACCAAGGATACACGCAAGCAGCGAATGTTGTAACGCAGATATTAAAATTGCTTAAGTAACGCCACCAGTAGTGACAGAATGACAGATGCAAAACTACTTGGCAATGCGGAAAAAACTAGTAAGTACTTGTAAAACTAGGGAACGAAGGAAGGAACCACTAGTTGCAAAATCGGGAAACTTCGTCATTGCTGCGAGGTCGTCGTCCTGCGACTTACCCTCTATGAGAATCTGCTGGTTGTCATCGATTTCGAGATCCACTAGATTCACCTCCTCTTCCTCCAGTAACTCCATCGTGTTCTGCAACGGCAAACACATGGCCGGTCACAGTACCGCGATCATGTAACACACGTGGCTCTCTCTCTCACCTGCTTTATCTCTCTCTCACTCTCTCTCTCTCTCTCTCTCTCTCTCTCTCTCTCTCTCTCTCTCTCTCTCTCTCTCTCTCTCTCTCTCTCTCTCCCTCCCTCCCTCCCTCCCTTCCCTCTCCCGCCCTCCGCCCACCTACCTCGTCCATGAACTTCCACAGCCTCATGTCCTCGTAGCGTATGCGCAGGCGCGAACACAGGAACTCGTACAGCTGTCTCACGCTCGTCCATCGGCTGAAGGCCGCCATGTAGGCCAGGTAGCGGCGCGGCGGCACCGGCGCGGGCGGGTTGTACCCCGGCGCGTCTGCAACTGAGGCACAGCGCCACCTACAGGAATGATCAAGGCGAACCACCGGCCGCCCGGCGGGGGGAGGGGCGAACGAGTCGCCGTGGCAACGCTCGTCTTACCGGATGATCTACGCGTTTTTTTATCGCGTGGTTGTGGCTCGCGACCTCGTTTCATCGATTTCAGTCGATTTTTTTCAGTTATAACTAGTTCTAATAATAGTTCTTTTTATATATATTAATTATCATTCTAAAATTAAATTCATAATTTTCTTCTTTTCACCGATTACGATGCATTTGATAACACGAAATTTTCATCTTTAGATCTGGTTATTCGAAGACCGCATAGAAACACCGATAGATTTCCGGCTGATCATGACTAGCACTCAGATGACTTCACCTAGTGCCGTAGGATCAATTAGTAAACGAAGAAAGAAGCTGCCCGACTATCATGCATGAGACACCAACGTGCGGACACCACGACCAGACATGCAAATCTCAGTTCGCAGCCACCAGGCGGAAGGCACCGGGCGATCGAGAAGGAAAAGCGTGGAAATTCCGTACGGGTTGAGAGAGAGAGAGCCACCGTCGTCATGCAATCACGAGTGACATGCTACCGTAAGAAACCGCAAATAAACTGCTAACTATAATATAAATAGAAAAGGGGAAAAAACTGAAACAACTAATTGTAGGCGAACAGCGGCGGCGGGGGGCGTGGCCGACGGTGTGGTAGCGACGCCATCTGAAGGCGGAGAATAGAAGTGAGCAAACGATCATGAAGACTGCTGTTTCTCTCTCTCGATCTCTTCCCACCTCTCTCTCTCTCTCGATCTCTTCCCCCCCTCTCTCTCTCTCTCTCTGTCTACCTATCTCTCTCTCTCTCTCTCTCTCTCTCTCTCTCTCTCTTTCTCGCTCTCTCTCTCTCCCACTCTCACCGCTGACAGAACTTACTGCGGGAGGGACCTCCAGGATTCATGCACACCCCTGCGGCGGCCGGAGGGTTTACGGTAATCTGCACGCCTCCGTTGCTGATGATGTCACTCGCCGGCGTGACTTCGTCTGAAGGCGTGGATCGCCCTGACGATGACGACGGTTGCCCTGGCAACCGCAAACAACAGAACAATCACGCCGTGGCAATGGTCGGGTTTTAGATTCGTGAGGATCTGATCCCCCCACCGATCCTCTTCCCAGTACCTCAGTTACTATACACCTTCTCCCCCCTGCCAGAGTCACTACCCATCCTCTTCCCAGTACCTCAGTTACTATACACCTCCCACGTCAAAGTCACTACCCACCCTCTCCACCCTGCCAGAGTCACTACCCACCCTCTCCACCATGCTATGGTATCTATCAACTTGCTACGTTATGCCACAGTATCTACCCACTCTCTCCCCTATGCTACAGTAACCACTCACCCTCTCCCATGCCATAATAACTACCCACCCTCTCTACCATGATGTATCTCCCCACCCTCCCCTCCCCCACATGCCCAACTATCTCTATGGCTGGAGCGGGCTCTGGGAGAGAGCAGCGAGTGCGACACTCACTGTGCAAGCCACCGTTGCAGTTCATTCGCTGGATCTGTGTGAAGCTATGAACCTCCTTCGCTCGCACCACCGTGCTGCCATCTGGCTGTGGCTCGGGAATCTCGTACGCACACAGCGTGCCACCGTTCAGCATCATCTTCACCTTGTGGTCGTCGTTTGGAATCGACTGCGAGCGAAATATACGTCGTTGTAGCGACCACAGCGACCACCACGCATCCTGACTATACAAACCAGGATCATTCTCAACTGTTCTCCATTCTAATATTATTCTTCAATCTGTTTCTAAATTGTTGTTACTTGCTGCTGTTATTTCTTATACTACTATTGTCGCTGTCACTATTATCATTATTTGCAGTAGTAGTATCACTATTGTAATTACATTTCTGCTCTACCAATAGAGTCCCACATGTAATAGCTACAGAAACAAAAATTGCAATAGAAAACGGAAAATCAAGCATCTTCGCCTCCCAGCCCCTGTCCACATCACGACCCTACATCTCCCCCGCCCCCGGCGCTCAGCCCAGCAGGGGGCGCTGCGTGCACGTACCTTGATGACTGCGCCATGGATCTCTGCTAGCAGCAGCTGGTCGGCGTTGAGCGAGGAGAGGCGAGCGAGCTGTGCCTTCAGCGTGCGATATCGCTCGTCCATGTTGAGACGGACGCCGTATCGCACGGGCACAGCACCGTCCTGCGTCACGACTGCAACGACGATGACAACCAACGCGCACCGTCGTGACACCGGGGGTAAACATGACGGAGCAACACTCGTTTGACGCTGGTACATGTAGTACGAGCGTGCTCGAGGAATTCATATCCTTACAGACATAACATTTGTACAGATACCATGTGTACACAGACAGACATATTGTCTGCATGTGAGTTTACACATACATGGTGTCTGTATGCGTATATAT